GCAAATCATCTTATCTTTGCTACTAATCGTTGGGCTGCACTTCGCTTTGATTGGGTTGCACTTAGTTTCATTGCTCTAGTTACAATATTTTCAGTGATTGTACGCGTTACTGGATATCGATATTTGTCAACTGCTGATATTGCTATGACACTCTCTTATAGTCTCAATCTAATGGGACTTCTACAATGGGCGATTAGGTAATGACTAAAGGAACAAATCTCATTTCCATTACAAATTATTGTAGATCATCAGTTGAATTGGAAACAAGAATGACATCAGTCGAACGTGTACTCGATTACTGTTCTCTTGATCAAGAACCTCCAGCACAAGTTCCACTAAATCGTCGACCACCGTCAAATTGGCCATCTCATGGTAGAATCGTATTCGAAAATGTTTCTATGTCTCATTCATCTGATAACCAATCATCACTTGCTCTACATCATCTTTCAATGACAATTGAAGCTGGTGAAAAAGTGGGCATTGTAGGAAGAACAGGTGCTGGAAAGAGTTCATTGATTCAAACATTGTTTCGTATGGGAACACTTGTTAATGGTCATATTAAAATCGACAATATTGATATTGCGACAATTGGCTTGGATGATGTTCGACGTCATATTTCCATCATTCCACAAGATCCTATTCTTTTTACAGGTACTATGAGAAGTAATCTCGATCAATTCAACGAATATTCTGATGCAGAAATTTGGCGTGCACTTGAACAGGTCTTTATGATATATTCTATTTAATAATTCTTAACTTAAACTTATTTAAGGTACAATTAAAAACATTAGTTGTTGATCGAATGTCAAATGGACTTCATTCAATAGTGAGTGAAGGTGGTTCAAATTTGAGTGTTGGACAAAAACAACTCGTATGTTTGGCAAGAGCTATTTTAAAAATGAGTAAAATTCTTGTAATCGATGAAGCCACTGCCAATGTTGATAATGTGTAAGTAAAATAAATCTTCATTAAAGTTGTTGATTAATGAAATATAATATATATAGCACTGATGAATTGATTCAACGAGCTATTCGTGAAAAATTCAAAGAATGTACAGTTCTTACTGTAGCTCATCGTTTACGAACAGTGATCGATAGTGATCGTATTCTGGTAAGATAATTCAAATTGAAATTTTTCTCTTTCAATGTTATCTGTCTTGAAGGTTCTTGGTAATGGAGAATTGCTCGAATTCGATTCACCCAAAGTTCTTCTCTCGAATTCTACTTCTCATTTTGCTTCACTCGTCGAACAAACAGGTGTAGCTGAGGCTGAATATCTTCGAATGTTAGCAAATATGAAATCAACAAAAGACAAGCAGGATTTTGATCAAGAACCATTACCAGATAGCAAAGAAACTGATCCTCTTCTAATATAAATTTTATTTATCTAAATACCGTTGAATCTTATATAGATGATACTTCATCAATTTTTGCTATGATGTCTCCTATGACCATCGAAAAAAGCTTATATCGAGCGCTTATTGAATAAAATAAAATAAGCTAACGATGAGACTTAGCTGATAAAATTTTCAATAGGAAATGTTCGAAAGGCAGGAGAATGAAAAATTCGATTCGACAAATTTTAAATATCTTAAAATTTTCATTCTGTAAATTTTTATGAAACACGACAGATGTGATCATAGTCCTATTCGTTGGTACAATAATTGATTATTACCAGAGAATGAAACTGAATCGAATATAATTCTCTTTATTTGATTCACTAGCAATTCTTTCAATAAGTCTCAAATATAAAAAATAAAGTTCACTTCAGTACCGGGCTAATGTTCTCTTTCAAAGAAAGCAGATTCATGTTCAGTTGTTTTCATGACTACTTCTCTTTCCACATTCCTAGTAGGATTTTATAGCTTTATGCAGTACTAATGTTTTGAACCCTTTTAGTCGACACGCAGATAGAATTCTATTATTAAATCGGCTGACTGCACGAAGTGCAGGCAGTGCCGACTTATTGCTTTTCACTCGGTTAGTTGCCATGCCAAATTCTTCTTCTTCTTCTCAATACATGAGTCACGATTCAAGTCAGCCGCTCGTTGTCAGCTCCTGAGTATCATGTTCAGTCAAATAAAAGCTTCGCGAGATCCTGAGAACGTGACGAGTACACATCTGAAATCCATTTTTCGAAATTCGGCGGTGGTCAGGGGATATAAATAGTGTCAAAAATAATAATTAATAGTTGATAGTTTCCTTATATGGTTATACATGATTTAGTCTTAATCAGACCATTGATATCTCAGATCTTATGTGCATATATACTTTAATTATCGTGAGTGTGGGGTGTGGGTGTGAGTGGAGTAGCTGTGAAGGAAAGATCTACACCCTAAATCACCAATGCGCACACCCACACCCACCCCCACCCCCAGCCATCCACACCCACACCCTGTTTCGAAGTATGTAAAATTTCTGCATCTCGATCGCTCTATCTTAATCGACAAGATGTTCTTCTTCTATCCTATCGACGAATATCCGATGCTGTCTTTCTTATTCTTCAACAGCGTAATCATTTAACTCTTATTCGAGCTCTATTAAGAAATAATGATGCCAGAAATTTACTTGACGAAAAATTACCCTATTGGTTTTTACCCTATGGTGCAAAAATTGATTTTGTTCGTGAACCATTCTTTCGACAACTATTGATAGCTGCCTGTCTTACTTCAATACGAGAATTACTTCGACAAACACGTATTCGTGTTTCACGCAACAAAGCTCGAAATATGTTTGGTATTATAGATGAGTACAATGTGTTAAAACTGGATGAAGTTTTTATTCAACACACTCGACTTAATGATCATGAAGATAAAGACACTAATAACAAAGGTGAAAAGACATCAATTCTTCATAATTGTAAGGTTGTTGTCACAAAAAATCCTTGTTATCATCCGGGAGATATTCGAACATTTACTGTTGTCAATCACGAAGAATTAAAACATCTCAAAGACGTCATTGTCTTTTCTCAGCAAGATGATTGCCCAGCATCACATCAAATTAGTGGATCTGATCTTGACGATGGATTTCAAAAGTATTTTAGAATAGAATTAAAAAAAATTTGAAGTGTAATGCAAATTGCAAGCAGCTTGAAATTTCCCTTGTACAAAATTTTTCATGAACCAAAATCTTGTATTATGATAAGAGAATATTCTATAAATTTCTTAACTATCTGTAGGAAAACTCTATCGTTCATCACGTCGAATGTTACCTGGATGGAATCGACTTCTTCGACGACATCGTCATTTACGTCATTTACAAGTTCGAACTCCTGAAGATGATGAAATAGATGATGAAGAAGAACAAGAACAAGAAGGAAATACTGACGATAGTCAAAAAAACATAATTACACTAGATTCATCTCTTCTTAATACAACTTCATCCAGACAAGATCAAGAAATATCAACAATTGCATCTCAATTATTTTATGTCTATCGGCAAGAAATGCTTGAAATTCTTAATTTATATGGACTTTCACATGAAAGTGATCTGTGGTGTCGAAAATCAACGAATACTACGGGTGGAGAACTTGAAGATACAGCTTATAATCAACTCAAACAACTCGTTGTACGTACACGTGAGGCTTTCTTCTTACGTTTAGTATCTTTCTGTTCGGACACTGGAAATACTTGTAATGCAAATACAGCTTTCGAAAACTTTTGTGATGGATGTCAAAAAATACACAATGCTGTAGCTGTTGCATTGTATCGAGAATGTTACAGTGGACAAAATGGATTGGAACGAGCACCAATTCTAAGTTTACCATGGTTATTTACTACAGCACTTCTACAGACACGTCAAAGAAAATTACTATCAATACAAGGTTTGCCTAGTGTGGCAATGGAAACTGCACTTCACGATCTGATTAATAAGCACTTATTACGATTAGAAGGACTAACAGTGACATTTCGCACATCGAACCATCGTCGAATCGAAGCAAGTGTAGATTGGACTGTTTGTGTTTTTGTTGAAATTCTTCATCATTGTCTCAAATCAAAGTCTTTTCCTTCATGGCCTATGATTCTTAGTCAATTCATACATAAAACATCTTCTTTGCAACAGTACAATGCAATTCATGAATGTTTATTGGTCTTTAACAATGAAGAACAGAACGATTTATATGCTGCTATACTCATATCGATGGAATGGACTGAGAATGACGATGAATTAATGCATTTATATTTTGTTCAATTACTCGAAATTTGCTTTGATCTTGATCAAAGTATGACTGATGATAATAATGAGTATCTTCGAATGAGCGAAGAAATCATTCTTATACTCCAACGAGTGGCAGTCGATGAAACTCCATGGCCGGAAAATCGCAGATAATATGATTGAAGCAAACTTCTATCTTTAGAACGTTCATCTTGCACCTCATTCTAAAAGTTAGAAACGATACCTCACAAAAAAATGAACTTCCAATCTCAAACTGAAGATAAATATTTTTTGTTTTTATTGAATTTCTTGAACAGGCGCTTATTATTTCATGAAAAAATCGATATATAATCCTCCAACATATATATTAGTTTCCTCGGCTTGAAATATGTAGATTCTCCTATATTTAAGTAAGCAACTTTTTTTTTTGCTATACTATTGTTTGTCATTTATTCGCTTATAAAATTTATGTAAGTGAATCGAAGAATTGATATTTTTCCTATTTGAATATATGCCTTAAAAAGAGTGTCAGTGAAATGAGGACTTCGATATCCATACACTCCACATCCACATCTATTGTTTTAATATATCATCCTCTATCACAAAAAATAGATACAAATTATGAAAGAAGATCTATAACAAGAAAAATTTTGTTCAAGCGATGTAGTGATGAAAATAATGGCAATCATCGATAAAACTATACTGACTAATAAACAAACAGCAACTAGAAAAAAATCAAGATAATCGACATTTTTATCTTGAATAAATCATTATATTTGTCAATCCTATTCTTCATTCTTCTTGTTCTGATTATTTTTTAACTATAATTAATTTTCACTAAAAATAATATCTTATTAGTAGCAAGTATTTAGATCAGCATACAATTTTTAGTTCTTTTAATAAATACTCACATACTCTCATTCACTCTAATTATTTTATTTCAAACAAAGATCATTTCAAGAATTGAATACGTCTTTTACCTACTTATGATAAGTTATCAAATCAATTAAGATATGTATGAAAATGTTTAAATAAGTACAATGATTTCTATGTAGTGGTAGATTTTCAATTGCTGGTTATAAAAAGAAGTTCAACATGAAATTTTGTTAGAAGTGAATTAGGTATTTAAATCATATGATAGCTGTATACATTTATTTCCAACTAACTCTTTTAAACAGTTATCATAATATTTAAATTGCGATATGAAGTACTGCTGCAAACGAAAAGTTGTTACAAAACAATTAGCTACTTAATCATCAAGTAGCTGTATACTATTCGAAAAAGTATTTCTTTTGAGAAGTTACGATTTCAACATGAATATATTTCTAAACATTCTTCATCGCTTCATATCGTAACATCGGTTAATCAATTTTTGCATTATATAGTAAAGTTTTCAAATCAGTATTTTGTACAACAAAAGAAATGCAATACCAAGATGTAAAAACGTGAATCGAAGTCTATTGAACACTTCTTCGTAAGATGACGAAGAATAATCTCTTCATTCATGAATTGCATGATTACTATCTTTTCTCGAAATCTACTATTTAAAGATTTTAAGATGTTTACTTGTTTGTTCATAAAGTTGTTTTTGAGATTCAACTTCTGATGTCGAATGAGAAGTCATCACTGTACTTATGATACGATTAAATACGTGAAAAAGAATGTTCTACTTTTCTATTTAAAGTGTATGTAAACAAATAATGGTTTGTATTATTGTTTGGTGAAAGGCAACAAGAAAAATAGCACATTGGTTGAAATACATCATATACATTTTGATATTTACTTCGTTTTTCTTTTTCTCTCCATTCTATAGGATTGTATACAATGAAAACAAAGACACATGGTGAATGTAAAATGTCTTTCATAACGATATGTATATATTATTACAATGATACAAAAAAAAAACCAGTCAAAATATTATTTGTTTTTTTTTTCTGAAAAATTATTGTTTTAGATTTTGATCAAAGAAAAAAATGAAGAATTTTTTGATTATTATTATTTTACTTATTTCTTCATTTCAATTCTCAATATCAAATCGAAAACAAAATTATTATAATCAACAACAATTCGAAAGTATTATTATTAATATTTTGCACAAATATTTTACATATGATTTTGAAGAACCAATATCAATTAATCATAATATAGAAAATAATAATGATGAAACTAAAGTTGATCCTAATGATCATGTTAATGTTGAATTATGGAATAAATTAAATGAAGAAGATATTAAAAAAATGCCTGTTATTAATGATTATTCAAATGAAATTATTGCTAAGAAATGGTTAAAATGGTATCTTTATATAGTACAACGATATAGTCAAGTAAGATAAGAAATATATTTTCGTTAATTTATTATTTGTTTTTATTCTATATATTTAGGTAGATATTTATCTCAATTGGAATTATATGACAAATATAACTGAAGAAAATCAACAAGCAATAACTGCTCAAAATCTTATTCAATCGCCATTTAGTCGTTTAGTATTACCAATAGCAAAAAAATTTAATGAATATATGAAATATTCAGAAAATTATGATTTAAAACGTATATTTGGTGGTTTAGCATCAAGTACAACTAGTAATAATGATGATGATGTAAAAAGAATTTCGAAATTAGGTAGTCAATTAGAAGATATTTATTCAACAACAAAAGTTTGTGAATTAAATAATAAAAAGAAATGTTATGCACTTGCACCATATTTAGAACGATTAATGCAAATTGAAAAAGATTATGATCGTTTATTATGGGCATGGAAAGGTTGGCATGATGAATGTGGAAATAAAATTCGTCCAGTTTATTTACCTTATATTGATTTATTGAATAAAAATGTTAAAGAAAATGGATATCATGATCTAGCTGTAAGTTTACAGGTCATTTTTTTCTGTTCTGATCAATCGAGCGAACCAGGCTGATTGATACTTTTGTTTTTTTTCCAAATCCACTAATGAGGAGTAGGTTTCTAAGTGTGAAATTGATTTTTTGAGTCAAGATTATATACATCATGTAGGTTTTAATGAATTATGAATACATTGACAAGAGTGCAGACTAATAGCTTATTGCTGCCAAGGTACTATGTTTTATAGCAGAATGTTGTGGTCCTCCTTAGGAAAGCTAATTTTCGAATTTCGACTTGAGAGAAGCCTCAATAATGGAAATTTATTGTGAAAATTTCAGATTTTTAAATTGCGTATATTCTGAAATAAGAACATCGGAATTAGTTGTTTTACATCAGCGGAGTGAAAAACATGCTTTTATCATAGCCGTATCCTTAGAATAGAAGAAATCAAAAGGTCTGAAACTTCTACAATAAATTTTTTCCATTAAGACTTATCTCCGGTCGAAATTCGAAAGTCAGTTTTCTTGAGTAGGACTACAACATTCTGCTCAAAAAATAAAGTATCATGGCAGTAATGAACTATTAGTTCGAACTATTTTCAGGATATTCATAGCTCATTAGAACCTATATAATACACATAGTTTCGACTTAAAAGCGATTTGACACTAAGAAAAATGCATCATTCTAGTTTCAGTCATTTACTTAATTTAATCTCATGAAGATCATATAATGACTAGTTCATGTGCGAAACAGAAAGATAAATCAGAAAAAATATTTCTCATATAAAAAAAAACACTGGATTTTATCGAAATATTTTTGAATATATCAGTACTATTTGACATAATTGAAGTTTACTTTAATTACATGTTGGGCACTCATTGACGTAATTTGCACACACAGTACTACAGAAAGATGAGGATGTTGTGATAAATGGGATTAAAATGAATTTATTCCATGCAGGTGTAAGTGACTGTGTGTGAAGGAATAACTCACACCTGCAAAAAATCATAAGCTTGTGGCGCCATCTTATGTTTCAAGGTATACTAGGGAAAATAATATTAGATCACATAGAAGCTAACAGCTTTGACCTGGCCTATTTCGAAACTCAGCTTGGTCTGTTGTGGTTGAGCCAGAGAAATTTGTAGAGAGAAAGGAACTCTGCCACTGTTTGAAACTAAAAATTAAGTCTTTTCTTTGTCTGTACTATAGAACTGTGACATTTGTAGAGGAAGCTCAAAGGTTTATGCAGAGAGCTGAGCTATGACTGATCTGCTTGAAATATACAAATAAAAAGCTCTTAGAACAATTTCTATGGAATTAAAAAGTCTGTAGGAGGAGTCAAATTTTTACTCCCATAATTATTTATTTATTATTTTATTTTATTTTTTTGTTAGCAATATTGGATTAAAGGTTATGGAATCGGTAATGTGACCGGATTTGAAAGTATTATTGATCAACTTTTAAAAAATATTATGCCATTATATGAACAATTACATGCATATGTTCGAGGTCGATTATGTTCAAAATATGAAAATCGTTTTGATTGTAATGGACCTATTCCAGCTCACATTCTCGGTAAATTTCTGGGTTTCTTTTTTGTTTTGATTATTCATATATATCTTAATTCAATTTTGAAAAACTTTATAGGTAATATGTGGGCTCAGACATGGCACGATCGTTTAGATGATATTATTCCTTATCCAGATGCTCCACTTATTAATATAACAAAAGTATTAATTGAAAAAAAATTTTCTATTCATCAATTATATACAATGGCTGAATCATTTTTTACATCAATTGGTCTTTATCCAATGACACCAAAGTTTTGGGCTCGTAGTATGTTTGAAAAACCTACTGATCGTAATGTTGTCTGTCATGGATCTGCATTCAATATGGGATATCATGATGATTATCGTGTAAAAATTTGTACAGAAATTAATGATGATTACTTTTATACAGTTCATCATGAAATGGGTCATATTGAATATTATATGGCTTATAGTGAAAAACAACCATTTGTTTATCAAAGTGGAGCTAATTCAGGTTTTAATGAAGCTATTGGAGATACAATTGGTATGTTTGCAAGTAAGTTATTTTGTTTTATTGTCTTTTGATATGAAGTTTTTTTTTAAATATTTTATTAGTTTCACCAGCACATTTAATAAAATTGGGTTTTCTTGATGAAGAAAATGTGAATTTACATTACGAAATCAATTATCTATTTCGTTTAGCTTTAGAAAAAGTTGCTTTTCTACCATTTAGTTATGTTATGGATAAATATCGATTTTTACTTTTTCGTAATGAAATTGATGTTGAACATGAATTAAATTCTAA